ATAATGGACCATTTGATATTGTATTGTGTTTTGCTGTCTTTTAGTTTCCATATGAACTTTGAAAGTTCTGTGCTGTTTCTGTGTTTTGGTGCATTGAATGTGTGCTTATGATTTGTATATCGGGTTTTAAATGCGGTATCTGTCAAGTATTGTTTTTTGGAGACTGGATCCAAAAAAGGCAGAAAGTACAAGTAAAAGAACACTGATCGTAGGTTTTGGTACGGTATTTGGTAAAAGGTTTTGAGAGGATAAGACGGTGAGATGGAATATATCGGGAAAGCAATAAATGCAAATATGATGGTTCAATCAGATGGAGAGCTTTAAAGGTCTGAACAAGTAATTTAAATATAGCACATTGCCTGATTGGCAGCCAGTGAAGTTCACACAATTTGATGGAGAGGAAGAACTAAAAAAAAAAAAAAATAATAATAATAATAATAATAATAATAATAATAGTAACAATAATAATAACAAAACTGTAGTTATATAGCATCTAATTAATCACAGGCTATCAGGAGTTTACCCCAGTAACTTGGGAATAAGAGGCAAGGCATTTCAGCCTGTTCATTCACTAAATTATCATGCGATTAATAACATCATTTTGAATACAGATTTGATATCAAATTTTACCATCGTAATCATTATTTGCATTTTTAGAGCCACCGACACTACGCATACGTTTATGCTTCTTCTTGTCCTTTGCACTACTCAGGCCACTTCCTGCTTGCCCACATAGTTCCAAATCGTTTGAAATTCCTGCAATGAGTCAAAAATAGTGTTAGAAAAAGATGCAATTATATATAAATATACATTTTCAAAGAGTATACTTTGTGACAAAAAAAAAGGCTTGTGGCCAAAGATAGACCGAATAAGTTTTATACTTGTTACTATCATTAGTATTAACATTATGTTATATTATATTGTGTAAATGTCTTAAAATGTCCTTGATTCTCTTAATATCAACCAGGATAGAAGGTTAATAATCTATTAATAAAGTCAAATAAATAAATATATGAAATTATGATTATCATTATTAATATTATTGGATGTTGTGGTCATTATCCCACTTGGGTACAGGTGAATATAATAAGAAAAAATTAACCATAAACACATCCTATATGTGTACAACAAAAGTTTTGGTCTTAAGTATTTGTTGAGTGCACACTTAATCCTTCCGTGTCTAACTGTCACATGTACATGTGCATTTGTCACATGAATATATCACAGGAACATTATGAGACCATCTCATGAACATTGTGCAATAGTCATTTGAAAATAAGCAGGGAGCTTTGGATTTGTCTCCCAGTGTATTGTCCAATCACCACCGGAAGGACCCCACTGGAAATAAGTCTTCTAGACTTTCGTGGGCTATCCTTGGAGTTTACACCGAATAACCAAATCAAATCAAACCGCGTCATGCAAACGAAAGCTCCCTAAACATTTGAATATCACATGAACATTATGTGATTGTCATAAGAATGTGTGTGACTGTCACATGCACATGTGCTAGAAACCACTTTAGACACCTAAAATGCTACAGGAGTATGCAATATACTGTATGCTAGAGTAGCAACCAAAACTTTTCTCAACATTTTCAAAAAGTACAGTTCAAAATATTTTATTAAATTGCAATCCAGTGAAACTTGCCAACCAGAGCAAATGAAACACTCAAAAAATGTAAATAAAGCTATATACTATAATATAAAGCTATGATTGCAGGTGATGGAAGAATGATGAAGAAATAAAAATATATGTTTATGAGATTCTCACAGTTCATTTAAGCAACTTAAAGAGGAACAAACTACATATAAGGTATTAATTTTGGGAAATATTTCAGAGACGGGAAGATCCAGGCAGCAATGCTACAGCAAAGGTAGTGATTTAAATGACACTGATGATGATGATCATGACAATGATGATGATGATTATGATGAATGGTGATGAGGATAAAGTGATATATTAATACCATAGTGATGACAGTGTTAATGACGATGATGATATTAAAATTAGTAAAGTAAATAACAGATGACGATGTTAAGAAAGCAATGGATGCTTTTTCCCCCAATTATGAGTAAAGCAGTTGGGGAAGACAAAATCAAAGACATTTGAATGGTATGGTTGGGAACAACTAATAAAAAAACCTCTTTTGCTTTTAGTTGAATTTCGTGAGGAGAGGTAAAATAATGGTTGCTTTTCAGCAACATTCAGTGGTTTGAAAAATAAAATCATGTAGACCATACATTATAACCTAAAGATGGGAAAACAAATGGAGAAAATACATATTATTATGATGATCACAAGCAAACATATGGAACAATATAGTCAAAATTGAAAAGTTCTTTTATAACAATAGTAGTAGTAGTAGCTTACCGAAAAGACAAGGTTGTCGATGGTGATATTGAGGGTGGCCAGCCCAACGGCAAAAGAAAACAAGCATACGATAATAATGTGTGAGAAAGTTAATAATGATGAGGATCAAAAGAAATATAAATCAAATGTTAATAAACATAAAATTATTTAAATATCTGCATTGTTTGAAACATGGTTGAGGAATGCATTAGAATGTGCTAAGTTAGGCATAGTCTGTCAGATCTTTGGAAAACATTTTTTAATGACTTTGTCTTTGTTGTATAAGATACAATGAAGAATAAAAGAACTAGAAATTTGGTTTTTTGGTTTGGTGAAGGTAAATTAAAGGGTAGGAGAATAACCTATAACCCGCAGCATCATTGTGTTGAATTGCGTACTGGCGTGGTCCGTGACTACCTAGTATACGTAAAGAGGCTCTTACAGTAGCTACATCTTCACATCATTCCACAACGACGCAGCATCGGGGTAACCCCCTACTCTTCCGAAAGATGCAATGGGTTCTTAAAGTGCACACAAGCCAGATGTGTAACACTTTACCTCCATTTTAATTCCTTAGCCGAGAAGATGTGGGTCTACCAACCAAACCCTGGGTTAAGACAACATGCTACCTTCAGAAAAAGTCTGATCTGTTATAAGTCTGAACAACACCAAGAAACCTTATACCATTAACTTATGCTTTAGCCACAATATCAAGTTGTATGTGTCATATACCTGTGGTCTGCCAATATACAGGTTTGTTATGACATCATCATTCCCATATATGAGCAAGTCCCACAAACTGGTCACATAAGAATTGATTTTGTGGACAGAGGTTTAATGATAAGGTTTCCATTAAACACTTGAAATAGTATATTTTGAAAATCATCCAACCAAAAACAATTATATGTATAACACAGAAAGGATGATACATTTTTTTTTGCTAAAAAACAACTTTTAACATTGAAAATTAGATTGATTTTAGTGTAAGAAAAAAAATAATACATAATCTTCAATTTCAGAATAAAGTTTAAAAGTGTTAGTGTAAATGAGAGTGGGTAAGGAAGGGTTTTCATTTCAAATTGCAAGAAATGTTTACATAACTCCTATAAGCATTCCTCTAATGAATAAACCAAACAATGCAGATTTGTTATTTTTTTAAAAATAAAAATGAATATAAGCATGCAGAAAATAAAGGAGGATGAATTATAAACAAATTTCCATCACCGATTACATTTAACAGTTTATAAAAATCATTAAGCACTAGTGCGGATATGTATGTGCGCGCGTGTGTGTGTAAATATTTGGTTTATATGTATATAAGTAAATCAGGTTATAGGTATAATAGTGAATAATGTTACGGGCATACTGTACTTATGATATATGTGTAGCAAGTGAATAAGTTTGTAGGTACATCAGTAAATACGATTGTAGGTAAGTGATTAAGAATGTACGGGAGTGAGGCTGTAGTTATGTGCAGTAAATAAGGTTATAGGTAAGAGGATTTGATAGTGTAAATAAATATGGCACATGTGAGTAGGTATTTGACAGAGTGCCTATAAATAAATCTCTATATTATTAATATATATATATATATATATTTTTTTTTTTTTAAATTGCAACATAAGATTTAAAAGCATTCAACCCAAGTTAGCGAATTTTTGTTTGCCACATTATAACTTTTTTCAATCTTAAAACAAAATCATTTTGCTCTGCAGAAACAGTGAAAATGAAATTAAAAAGCAAATTACGAGGGGATGAAGTAATAGTTAGAAGTTAGACACATTTTCCATTAATGCAGAAACCAGCATTAAGCCTGAATGTATTAATTTAAAAATATAATAATGATGCAGTCAAATGGAAATACGTATATATTTTTAATCCCAGATCACCTTAAACACTAAATTTGATGGAAAACTCTATATAAAATTAATTATAGAAAGTATGGAAGTTTATAAAAAAAAATATTTCAACAAAAATATAAGGGCTGTACACATGCAAGAATGTTGGATGATAAAAACTTTTTTTTTTAATGATGGTAGTATATGAATATAATTGTGTGTTAAAAATGCACTATATTATGAAATACTGAATTGTGATATAATTTTTGACCAGGTCTATTAATTAAATCTGGGGTTTTATTTACAGAAACTATCAGCATACTTTGTTGATATCAATTTGCCATAAGTATCTATAGAATATTTTTGGAATTACTTTTGTCGAGCATATTAGTGGCTCTGATTTTTAGAGGCCACTGCTAATTATACAGTACCTGGCGTGACGGAGGAGTTGGAGATGATAACAGCTTCAAAGCCCATGTCTCTAGGAAGTGAGCTGGACTTGGATTGGTTTGGTGTTAGATCTGGCCTGTGAGAAGATAAAGAACCTTCCCTTGCGATTGCACTGTGATTTGGGTGGACTGAAATAAGACAATAAAGTTCATAAATTGTGTGTGTTTATATAAGTTTATATAATAAGCATGGCAATTAAGATCAAATTTCAAATTATAACATTATAAGGTAAGTGTTTATGTATATGATCATATACTATTTATGTATGTTTGTATAAGGTTGGTGATGGTGACCATAACGACTATAATAATTTGTGACCGGCTATGGCAAAACACTCTGTTTGTCGCAATTGCTAATTTCCCACAAGCCCCCAAAACATTTGAGAATCAGAATTTTGAACATTTTCATGTTTTTGCATTTTAAAAGAATTGAAGAACATTTCTGCAGAATATCAATCACTAAATCTAAATGAAAAGTATATTAAAATTACTTTTGAAATACAAATCTTAATAATAAACTACTGATTCTGGAATCTTTTGAAAAGCTGTTTTCTCAAAAACCTAAATGGCTGACATCCAATGAAGTAAATATTCATAACTTTCACAAACACTCAACCAATTTCCATCAAATAAACATTCTTGTAAAGCAGAATTCATGCAGTATCTAAAGAACACCCAAAAACTCTATTTTGAGGTTTTAACACAAACAGCTGGTCACATACGATGATAATAATTATGTCAATGGTAACGAAAACAACAATAATCATGATAATAACAGATATGATGATAATAATGTAAATAATAATCAAGCTGAAGATGCTGCTATTAATGAGGATGATGAAAAATGATATATGAAAATTGCCTTATCAAGGTCAGTACCTAGGGACATATGCTTCATGTCATTGGTGACATCATTGGCCGCAGACCCCAGCTTGTTATTATTTGTGGTTGATCCCCTTGCAAGTTGTGGCCTTCTTCCGGGTACTTTCACTGTTGTCTTCATTAGTCGAATATCCTTCCCATGGGAATCATTCATGTAATCCTTTAGGAACAAAAAATATTGACAGTCTAGAAGAATGCATGTTTATATGAATAATATACAGTAAAATTAGGGTAAACCATTAATAAAAACTGGAAATTTAAAAACCATCAACAATACAATTTACTACACCACTGAAAAATCTTTATCTAGAAAATGAAATTTTATTAAAAAACAATAAATATGTATAACACAGTACTGTATATGGACGCAAGTGATGACAAAAATTTATACAAAAAACCGAGATGAAAATGTACTGTATGCCTATAGTATCATCATATGGCCAATGAAATTACATAAAAAAAGAACAAAAAGTAGACCTGTAAATGGATGTAGAGCCAAGCAAGTATAAACTAGTTGTACTCACGTTTATTGTGGAATGATATGTTAATTGTCCGTCGCTATTTAAAGCCACATATTTTTTCTTCCATTCTTTGTTTAAGGCTTTATTGCTCCGTTTGTATAACCAGCCCTAAATTGAGAACATTTTGAAACATTCGTAATCAAGATAAATTTAATATGATACTGTCAAGTAAATATCTTAAAGTTGTAATTATTACAATAACAACAACATAAACAACAATAATAATAATAATGATAATAATGAAAATTTGTTTTGCATCCATCTATAAAGATGTTCATAGTGCATCGACGCAACAGTGCACTTGAAAAACTAAACTACCCACAACTAAAACTCTAATTTATAAAATTATTAATTTTAAAAACAAATTACCACAATGGTTAATTATTTCAAATTGAGTACTGGCCACGATAACGAGAACAGCATCACAGTCACCCGGGGTGCACGCAGGCACTCCGTTCGGCAACACGATGGGCTCCGGTAGTTTCAACCATGGGCTAATCCCACGGCTCCTCTGCAACAGTGGCGCTGCCTCAAAACAGGGAGATAAGCTACTGACTATTAACTAGATTATGACAAAATTTAATTAATCACGACTCAAAAAGTGTGTCTTCAATGTGGTTTTAAAAGAGCTCAGTGAAGAAATAAGTTTAATATGACCTGGCAGTTGATTCCATAAAATGGAGCAGTGGAAGCAAAAGAACGCTTGCCCCATGATCTGTGTGTAAATTGGACCAGGGGACGAGCAGCCTTCACCACCCATACAAGCAATCTGAAAGTACCTTTTTGAGAGTTGAGGTGTCAAAATGCACAGCCATGGTGGTGCATGAAGTTGGTGTCTTAAATAAAAGGGTCCTGATTATTTTTACTGTAATCATAGTGATAGCATGTATAACACTTATTTGTGAATTGAATGAAATTCAATTAAATAAGCCTTATTGCATTGGATGAAATAGTATTATTTGTTTGGTTGATTGTTTTGGTGTGATAATGGCCTGCAGGTGGGATTAGACGCTTTAATAAGGTGTCCTTGTTTGTGGACCATGCAAAGGCTTGTCAAGAATAATTTTATTTTTCTTTTAGCCTTTAACCTTTAGTGCCTCCCAACCTTGTTCAAGGTCAAATGCAATTAAAAATCTAAAAAAACATTTTCACATTCTTTGTGGATTATTAACAGATTATCTTTAATTTACTACATTGGTTTTTGTAGTTCTATACTTACCTGTTTAATTGGAATAGCTCTGCCACTACCTAACTTGTCAGGCTGTGTATGCTTAACATCTCCACCTTTACTACTCTTTGGCTACAAAATAAAAAAAAGGGGGAAGGGTGGGGGTGGGGGTAAATACAAATTAGTTTCAAAAAAGTAAAATCATGTTTCTTATAACAAAATTGATCTTTTTAAACAAACAATTCAATGTAGTAATATATTAAATTTTATGTGCTTATCAATTGTTTTATATTACCACAGACAGCAACACTTTTAAAATATCCTATGGAATGCTTACCATTACTGTAAAAATCCCACTAGTTTGTTTCCGCCGTGGTCGCCTCAAAACATTTGGTGTACTGCTTGGACTGGGGAGCTGTGGATCTCGTGTGAAATCCTTTGTTATGTCCCGTCGCGGATGACCGGTCGGTGTTACCGGCAGTTGAGGCTGCTGCTGTTGCTGCACTGGGTACTGGCTAGGCTGCGTAATTGACTGTGTGCTACTTGAGCTGCTTCCAGGCCCACCTTGATGCACGTGTAGTGAACCTGGTATCACAAAGTTGTTGCTACGTGTTGCCTGAGGTGTACTAGGTACGGAGTTGCTATTATGGGTTAATGCAGTTGGTATGTGCGTGCAACTTCGCTTATCGGTAATTCTCTGAGCAACTGTTCCATAAAAAAAATTAAAAATCAATCTTTACATAAAATCATCTTTAGTTTGGCTGTAACAAGAAAAAATTTATCATATACCTGCAAAATAAAATCATTTTGGATGAATTATACAGTCTGGACAACGATGATTTGAAGTTTTAGTTGTATATAATAATTGTCTCACAAGTTGTGAATGAACCACATACCAAACTACTCCTGAATATAATATGTTCTTGAATCATCCCCCAGTCTGGGTTCAACAACTTCTAAAGGAGGCCAGGAGGGGTGACAGGCCACATTCAGGGCCCAGAAGAGAAGGCTCATTGTGGGTAAAAATAAAATGTTTTTGCTTTTTCAGACGAGTTGCGATAGGTCTCTTGGCCTGTCTGGTAGGGACGTTAACCCTCTATTCTCCTGCTGCCACCTCCACTGGTTTGGTCCACTACTCTTCCTGTAAATTGGTCATGTCATTCAGGGCTCGATTCATTACTAGTCCGTAGTACATTGCATAGTAAAAAATCTTCTGGGCTAGTAAACCTACCTTACTACTAGCTCCGTGGCGATCAGTTATAAACTATTGCTTCAAGTATGTTTGGCCAAGAACATAATGTTACTGATGTAAAGTGTAGCCAATGATTGGGCTAGTGAAATATACAGTGGGCTAGTCACTAAAAGAAAGTTAATCTGAGCCCTGTCAGTGTATATTGGGATATAAATATCATAATGAACAGGAGGGGATACACCCATCAACTGTTCCTGTTCTAGCTTCACCTTGCCTTTTACTAGTGATTCCCTCATATCTCTCTATGTATAGTACTGTATTCAGTTATCAAAAAGGATTGTTATACTTACTTTCATTAAAGACTCTATCTACATTTAGGCCATACATTGCACATGTTTCATAAAAAGGACATCGCTTAAGGTCGTGTGATAACTTTTTTGCACGATTATCATCAATAAGTCTTGGACTCGTTTCGTTCACGGCATCTAAAAGATAAAATAATTCACAAACAAAGAACTTTAAATAGACTGTAAGATTCACAATTAATAATAAAAAATAATCTTATCTAAAATAAGTTACAAGATAAAAAAAACCCCAAGAAAGTTGTAATACATTACTGTATACTCACAATGAACAATAATAAAATCTTATCTTTGGCATTTATAACGTTGTTATGGAACATGAATGATGAGCCTACTAGGCCTTGTTCCATAAAGTGCCAACTACTTGTTCTTAAAATTTATTATTCAACAGTTACAGCTACAAGATGCTGGTACATACTAACCATTATCATATAGAATACTGTAAAGTCATAGCAGAAATACCAACCACTACCTTTTTATAGTCTCCTTTGTATTTTAATAAACAACTACAATCAATTACATTTAAGACCATCACTTAACTCATTTTCCAACATTCTTATGAAGACAGTTAGGAGTAAGTTCACCATACCATCAGGACACCAAACCAACTGACTGTTTTTTGTTTATTTTTTTTTTATCAGAACTATATTTTACCATGTAATGTAAAGTAAGGTAAGTTTTAATTATTACTATGTTTTATTTTGAATTATTTATTTATTTGTATATTTTGTTTACTTGTGTTTATTTTTCCCTTATTTATTTTTTTCCCCTATTTTTAAAAAGTTAATTTATGTTAAATATACGCGAAAAATAAGTTAATAACTTGCTGTTCTATTAAATGTAATGTCTTATGCCAACAAGTATCAAATATTTTTATTAAAAATATTTTTTTTATTTTGAACCCAATAAATTTTGGGCTCAAAATAAATTATGATGTTAACTTGTGTGAGAGCTTTATTTTTCTTTATTTTATTTTTATCTATGTAAGTGAAATTTAAGTAAAAATATAAACTAAAAATAAGTTAAAAATGCTTTTTAAATATTATTTCTTATGCCAACAAGTATGAAGTATGCAATATTTTAATAGATTGAAGGCTCAAATTAAATTATGATGTTAACTTGAGGGAGAGCTACAATAAAATCAATCGTAAGTACCTTGTGTGCCGACAAGTATCATAGGCAACTCAGCAGTATTTCTATGATGGGCAATTTTGGCATAATAATGATACAGCATATTAAAACTTGTCTCATCTTCGACACTAAACACCAAAATGACAGCATCCACCCAGGAACAGAATTGTAGTTCCGGAGGACCTCCTTCATCTCGTATTAGTAATAGGTAACTCTGTCCATCGACGACGATCTCCTTTTTGAATCTTCCACCTGAAAGAATCATATATCAAATTTATAACCAGGGATTTTCTTTGGAATAGTGTGCACTATTTGAACTTTAGCGTTATTAAAATTAATAGTACAACTCCAGAACAGGTGCGGTTAGTTGACACGCGATGCCAGCCAGCAACCCGGAGGTATGGATTTCGTATTACAAAAATATTGTAAAAATGTAATAAAAGTACATTTCGAGATATGGTACACAAATTTAATCTGGAAACATTGGTAGAACAGTTGTTATAATTATTAGATGATTATTATGAATAGGGTCTACCCTTCTTACATTTTAAATTTCTATAGCCTATATTGATTGTTTACCTTTCAGATTTTTTTTGTTTGACCGTAATTTATTGTATGTGTTGCTGGGTCCTGGAGGATAACAATGCTTTTGCACTGATCATGTCACCCAGGGTAAAGAAAAAATAAAAATTAACCAGAAGTGTAAATGCAAGTTTTTCATCTAATACAATAATCAAACAAAATTTAACATTATATTATCAGGCAGTTGATGATGATGATTATCAACCAGAAGACATAACATTTAGCTACTATTAATATCAAATTATTATTGGTAATTAATTAAATTAACTGTTTTTTAATGTCTTTTGGTTAAACTGGGATATTATTCCAGAAAGGAGAACAATGCCTCCAATATCATTCAATGATTGTTGTCAATGGCAGTCTTTTCGCACTCTGTTATCCCTCTGCTTGTTTCTATCCCTTGAAACCGCTAAATTTATTTACCTCAGTTAACGATGTGCTACTGAACATATTAATCTAATATTTGTTATAAATTACCCTCAGATCAAATTCAAAGAACATTCATCATTAAGTGTAATACCCAACAGGTGAATAAACATCCACTATCATTAGTGAATGTGGACTAAGCTATATTTGTTTATCCTCCTGGCAACTAATGCTTATCATCAAACAACTTTAACATCATCTATTTCATAACTTACTAAATATATTTTTCCATTGTTAAACTTTTATTTGTACAAGATGCGAAGTGCTCTGGAAGCAGATCAGGTCCTATACCTAACACTTTTTTAAAAGGCAGCGGATAGTATTACACCAGTCTTGTACATCAATTCCTAATTCTGAATGAATGCTATTGCCATAATCCAATCTATACATACACAGTAATAACATCCAATCAGATTTACATATTTCTTTCTGAGAATTGCTTGCTATTAGTCTTGTGACCGGTTGCCAAGTGTCTACTACTTTGAGGTTAGTGACTGAATTGAAGCTAACATACTAAAGGATCCCATAAAGTTTCCCACAAATCAGGAGCCTCATGGAAATCAGGAAGACCTTCCGGAAATCGGGGAGGGACTTTCCACAAGCAAACAAAAATCCAAAAATACCCGATCTCCCAGCGATTTACGATATTTTCATGTTTCTATTATAGGACTATTGTATTATCAATTCTCTCCCAGAAATCAGTGCCAATGGATATCACCGTACACAGCAAAATTGTATTAGATGCACGTTAAGAAAGCTCAAAAGTGTGCCAGAATTGACTTCTTCCAATTTGGACCCTTGCATACTGATAATAATCTAATTTAAAAAGTCTTAATAGGCAGATGCAAATAATTTAGTACATTAAATTACCAGGTTGAATCAATGCTAATTAGTATTGCCCTAATCTCAATTCACCTCGCATGTAAATTGATAGTTTGTTGATTGAAATGGAACTAGCAATACTGGTATTAATTCAGGATTAGTGCATCATCTGTGTTGACCTAATAAAAAAATAATTGTATAGTAAAATTGCTTATTTCCAATTAAAAATTTAGATGCAATATGTTTCTAATTGGTGTATGAATTACACTTATTAGCTGGTACTCTTTTGCAATACCTTTTAATTGGTTGATCAACTTAAGAACGTTTTAAGGCCTGTTGTACAGTAGATCAGAGAAAACTTATTTTTTTGGTCTGTGTACCCAAGGCAATAACTTATTTGATCTACTATTTGATCTACAAAATGCTCAACTAAACAAGCTAGTCAATGGTACAGTATCTTTACAGTATTGGATTTGGATTAATTAGGAGAAAATACACCCTATATACCATTATAAAATTTGATAAATCAAAAACTGATAATTTACAAAGCATAGTACAGGAATTGAGAATCAATTCAATTTCTAAAACATACTGTACTGTAGCTATTAAGAGATATTATGAATGAATATAATATTATTAAAACAGAATGCCAAGAATGTGATTAAGGAATAGATGAGCGCAATGATTCAATTGGGAAGGGACAACAAGGCTCCCCAAGGCACAGAGGCTTGCAATCCTATTGGTTGTTGTAGGAGGTTATCGGGAGGGGTTTACATAATTGTAAAGCCAAAACTAATCGGGAAAAGGACTGCTAAGGTCAAAATAGTACTGTAGGTAGCAACATGAAAGGGTAGAAGAGGACGAAGAAGAATGGAGGAAAGGGTTTTAAAATTTTCAATTTGGAACAACACCTAAGTTAGTGTAAGTGAACTTAAAATTATAGGGCATGTAAATTATGGAATGAGCTCCCATCTCCATTATAATTGTGTTTGTTTGAATCTTATTCATTTGAATGTAAAGTATTTAACAGTGGTTATACTTTCTGATGTATTCATGGTTATCTAACTATAAATTGAACAAATGATGAATCTGTAGAGCTCTTTGGATACCAATACTAATGTATTGGAAGAGTATTTCCAGACTAAAGATTAATTTTGATTTATATACAGTCAGGTAAAGATGTTCAGTTAAAACATAAAAGGGATAGGAAGAGGAAAAGATATAATCAATGTAAATTAATTCTCTGAAAATCACTAAATATATTAATTAATAAAAAGTACGAATACAATTAGCACTCATGCAACTGTATTTGTTGTAAACTGTATATTTTATATTTTTTGTATATTTAGTTTGTTTATGTTACACTTCAACTTCAAGGAAGTGAAATTATATGCCTATTAGGTTTAATAATTACTAAACCAGGTTCCGGAATAAAATTTTGCTCTAAAGCACCAAAATAAGTGTTCATAACAAAGCTTTCTAATAATTTAGACCCAGCCATCGATAACATTAAAAACCGTAAGCATTTAGTTTATGAAGTACAATAACACTATACTCCGGATACCAAGTGGAACAATAATAAAAGCCGCACATTGACAGTTTTAACAATTACATTGCCAGAACACAATAAATTTAATAGCATCAGCTAGTAGGGCCTACTCTATCATGAGCCATTTCAGTGTCTAAATCTCTGGACTGCTATATAATAAGGGACAACTTTTTTCATACTGTGGCACGACTCCCACCTTTTACCCCTGGGGGAAAACAGACCACGAAATAGCATTTCTACTATGGCACTTTAGAGTACTACAGTATACCTTGCAGACAGGTATAGTATTTGCTGTAGAGGGTTTACATTGTTGAGAATTAATAACTACTATATCTAATTGTTTGGTTAATGAACCTGTTCAAACAATAAATATTTGCTTGGGATGGAGAAGTAAAAACCACCTTATTATGTAAAATCTGAAAAAACAAACAATGGTGCCTTCCATTTAGCATGCAAACTTTAAACTAATTTGTCTTAAAGAAATGGATTTGTTCTATACTTAACATATTGAGATCACAAATGCCCTGAAAGGAGCAGTTCATTTCTCAAATTAAATAACAACTAATGTCCCCATTTCGAGTAATTTTCTTCAAAATTGCCTAGAACTGACAATGCACAGTAATATTTTTATCATAATGAACCATCTATATGAATGATTAGTTGCTAACGAGTAAAAAAGCAAGCGCTTTACTGAGGTGTTAAGCACACAGGACACAATCAACAGCTTACACCGCTGTTACCATTAACAAATGAGACTGTTACCTAGCTTGCATGATTAATGGGCTAATTAATTAATTCAGTCCCTAGCCTATTAGATTCTGAGTACTCTAATGAAGTGACATGCAAGAATTAATGAGACACAAGCACGTCAGCAGAAGGAATAGAATACTTCAAAGGAACGACCCTCTGACACCTAAAAATAATAGCTTCCAAATTATATAACTAGGTAAATACAGTTATGTAACAGCCATAGTAAAATCTGATGTAGAATAATGAAACATAGTATGGTCGAGGTGCGGGTCGATTCTGGCCGTGGAATGATGGACGACCTGTTGAGGAAAAGCTGGCGCCGCCTGACTGAACTACAAATAGAAAATACAATGTTACCTTCAGGTGATTCTTCTTGCATGTAAGAGCCGGTGAGGTAGCGATGGACAAGTGCTGACTTCCCACTGCAAGTACTCCCTATCACACCCTATAATTCAAAGATGGTAATGATGATAATTATGATAATGAAGAAAATAAAAATTGATGGGATGTGCCAAACAAGGGTTTATGGTTTCTGAAGGCGGGGTTAGTTTGTTCCCTTATCTATATTGTGGGGATATCATCCAGAGGGACTCATCCCCTGGAAGCTCTAAACACAGGTGGACTTAGTGCAGGCCGTAGGGCCGCATGCGACCCGACAGCGATTTTTTTGCGGCCCACGAAAATTAATTAAAAACCCTATGTGTGCGGCCCGCCAAGCAACATTGGCTAGAAAACACCGTTTTTTTTACGGCCCGATACCGATCATATGTAAAAAGTAACATTAAAACTGTGAATAAAGTGGTGTAAAAGCAGTATTTGGAGGTTTTTGGAAGCACACTGGAATTTGGAAACATCCGACTGATTTTTATGCCCACCCCTGCTCTAGAGATTTAGCAGGGTTGTAGAATTTAGAAAACTAAGGGTTGGTGGTAGATATGTTAAGGGTGGATGATCACATTGGTAAACTCCAAATAGTAAGAGTGGATTTTAAGGATAGGCAAGGGGGTTAATAATAAGGATGGTGGAGGGCCATGAAATTAGACTGGTTGAAAACTTCCAAGACTGGGTGGCCTGCCCACCTCGGGGGTGCACTCCCTAACTGCAAGTCTGACTCCAGAGGAAACAAATTTATTGATATGTTGTAGATCTGATTTTTCTAAGACAGAAAAAGTTGTTTGATGAAGAACTGGGGAACAGTGAATGAGATACAGATTTTTGAATATTTAAAAACTGGAGGGAAAAAGGTGTAAAATTGGGCAGTTACGCCCCTGTTTCCCCCAGTTTTTAAATACTTAAAAATCTGTATCTCATTCACCGTTCCCCAGTTTTTCGTCAAACAACTTTTTTCTGTCTTAGAAAAATCTGTTCTACAACACATCAACATTTTTTTGCCTCCAGAGCCTGACTTTCATCTAAATTTTAACCATTAATCTGTAGGCCTATATGATTTTAGAATTTTTGTTGCAACTAGTGGAAAGAGTACCTCTTTATTTCCCTTGACCTGCCACTGACTACAACTAATCTCATGTTCATTCTCTTTACCTTAGTAACTACACTTTCTATTTTTAACACTGTCTTACCATACTCTACCATATACTGTATCTGTTCTGTATATTTTTACAGACATTGTTCCATGGTACAAAATTGTTGATCGCATCTAATGATCAGTGTGATGCCAATAATCAGTGGGCGACTAATGAATAGGTCTCTATTATTAAAGTAGGATCAATGATTAAGGCTTGAGGTTTACAATGACATACACGACCGGGTCAGCAAGGAAGTGCCATATGGTATTCTGGAGGTTATTTGTCAATTCAAATGTACGGTAAGTTGTTCAGATATCAATGGTTGATTAAAAATTGTTATTCAGATTTTCATTTGTACAGTAACATGGCCAGACTTAAATTGAAAACCAAAATGAAATACAGCATTACTGTCTTCCAACCTTTAGGCCTGCTTTCAGCCAATGCATGGATTCGGCCAAATAAAATTATCATTTCTTCTATAACAATTAATTACCGTTCGTTTTCAGTAAAACTTTCACTAAATAGGCAATGGTTTAGCATTACCATTTTTTTAATACCCAGCCAAAATTCTGTCCAAAAACGAGTTTCACATGAAATCCACATAAATTCAATTAATAGGCCTAAATGTTGTTTTATCAATTATCGTTCATAAAAAATGGACACTTCACTGAATATTGCAATCGGCAAAGCATGTACAGTATTGAACGCGCCATATCTACTAGCCGACCAGGAACCTCAATGAGTTCACAGGTACTTACTTGCATGCACAGGCGGCGTACAAAGAGATTCTGCAGTTAGGCTTGCATTGAAGGCGGTGCCTCACGATGCCTTAGTCCATATTTTTTTAGTGTGGCGCTAATTTTTTAAGCCTGGTGCAATCTCTGCTTATTTTGCCTAAGTGTGGCAGTCCCGCTCGCTTAAGTATAGCTGTTACAGCTTGTTACAACAAAGAACTACCATCCAATCTGACTCGGCCTTCAACTGTTAAACTCTCCATCGGATGCCAAAACCTCATCCTATGCTAAGCAGTGCCACGTAACTTTTACATAAACTTTATTATCATTAATTATTTAAAATTATTATTACCACCACAAACACAGCAACATTACATATGACCATCATACAAGATTAAATTATAGAAATAAAATGTATTTAAAAAATACTGTACCATAGATTCTTGAATAAGCACTATGGCACATAATCAAGAGTACATATTTCCCTGTGTGTAATAAAACACTTTGAGAAACAGGGTTTTTACAATGTATACAGTGTTAAAATAAATATGTAACACAATGAAGACACAAGCATTACTTTATAAACGTTTGTTTATGATGACTTAGGACCTATAATATGAAATATGTGAAGCAAGTAATGGGCATGGAAAGCGCAACGCAAATATTTTTTATAAGCACTGCTCTTGAATAAGCGCTGCACTGAAGCCTCTAATAATTTTATAAGCGCTGTGGAGCTTATTCAAGCATTTATGGTAGTCTTTAAATTTTTTGAATGTTAAAAAAATGTAGAAAAAAATGTGAACTAAATGCGCATATCATTAAGTGTAAAACTATATTAACCAAAACACTAAGTACATACCACTTTCAACTCTGGAACAGTTCTGCTCAAAGTCCATTCTTGACTATTTACAAATGAATCTAGGAAAAAGCAAAAAAAAAAATTTAAAAAAATCAGTACATTTTTTACCTTTACCTAAATTAAGCACAGAAATTTCAACCTCTAAGATATCAAGGTCAGAGAGATACGCTGACATAAAATAAAAGATTAATTTGACATTTTTTTTGTCACCACAATCAGACAGTGGCCACGTAGGCTAGACTTTTTTTTATACCTTGTTTTACAAACCGGTGTCGCCAATATTATGATTTAAATAAAAAGAATGGAAATTACATTATAGAATTTTTAATTCTTCATTAATTATAAAATTTAAAGCATTTATAACTCCCATTACTACACTGTTTATATACATCAATAAGATTTTCAAAAAACAAATTTTTATTTTTATTTTTAATATTTTTCTGCCCTCCTTTAATTTAAAAAATTATTTGCTAAACAATGTATAAAAACTCTTAACTTAGATGGATAAAATATCAATATATCCTACATGCAGGTGAACTATCCAGATTACATTATAAGAGGCTATAATTATGAGATTAAGTAGCTTTCTAGGTTATTTTATTGATTCTAGGCACATATTAACAGGACTTTCTATATGAGAGAAAGAGGAAAGAGAAATAGTATCGGTGAGTTTAATACAGATATATGATTATTTTTAAATTTAACAAAATGGGGAAGTGCGCATGCCCCCACTAAATCTTTGAATATCTCGAGCTTTGCAGCAAAGACCATATAGACATCTCGTTGTTTTTTTTGTTTTTTTTTTGTTAGTAGATTATTAGGTTGATTATTCAATCTCATTATAGTATGTATTTCTAATTATATTATTTCCTCGTACTTTTTCTAGTAAGGAACAATATCTCTTCAGCTGTAATTATGTAGATGTAACAATAATTTCTGATCATATATCATATCGCATTGTACAACTAAAAAATTATCATTCTTTCAAGGAAACATATGATGTGTTGAATGCCGAAATTGATGTTACATGATCCAATAAAACATATCCTTATCTACAGCTTTCTCAGAAGTCAACCTTTTGGGAAAAGACACATATACGTTAGTAATTGTATTAACTGAGCTCTAATTATGTTTATACCCTACAGCTGAATAACAATATATCCTTGTAGTTAGACAGGTCATCAGATATTTTCAATAAATAAATATTTAATCAATATAAGCATACTATAAGCACTGAAGAAGCCCTGCAAGAGTCAACAATAATACTGTACTGTAGATTCAGGTGATGTTTATGAATGATGACAAAGTTTAGCTTTGTCATCTTTATGTAAATATAAGCATAGAAATAGCTTAGAAGCTATAATATAATTTAATATAGTTTAAATTTGATCAATCTGCAATAATAACTGAATACCCATAATTAAATAAAAAAAATTCATAAGGAACTACTTACAGTACTTCTCACAAATAATAATAAATACCTATATAAAAAAAAACACACACATAAATCAATACAGCAACTAAATTTCTGAATACCTTACATCTAACAAGTTTACAAAGTATTGCACGGTACTTTATTATATAAAATTGTCTTGCTTTGTGTTTTTTTTTTTTTTTAATATTGTATTTTTTATCATGTTTAAATTTAGAAGTTTTCCATAAGCTATTAAAACTTTTAAACTAACTGTTTACTTCCTACATATTTCCCCTTTTTTTATTTATTATACAATTTCACTGTGTATCAAGTGGATTTATAAGACATAATTACACATACAGTATACTGCATTCCAATAAACATCCCACTTTAAATTATCCAAGAAAATAAATGCCTCCCTCGAATAAACACCCTCTCTAAAACTTCTCAACAATAAATGCCCCGCAGTGTTTATTCGAATAAAACGGTATCTTTAAGTTACGATTATTATATATTATGATTATTATATATTATAATCTCTATAATAATATTTACTCTCCTAATAAAACTACTGAATTTTCAACTTTCAATGAGACACAAATTGAAACAATACAGATTTTTATACCGATTTCGTTTGTAATGTGTCAGTTCAAGAACAAAGGTAGTTTCGCTAAAAAGAAAGATGTGTTAAAAACAGTTTATATTCTATACGATAGGGTCTTTATAATGGTTGTAAAGATACTTAACAGTTGGCTATTTTATGCACTGTACTCAGCAAAAAGTCATTAAACTTATATTTATTGCTTGCTTGATGTTAGTAGTTATGAAAAATGCAATAAAATTGTCAAATCCATGAATAACACAATACATATTCAAAGCATCTACAGTTTACTGTATTAGACAGTGCGGCAATGTTCACTATGGAGATTTACTGTACACTTGATGCATTCAGTTTTGCATCTGAAATTTTATGTCCAAAAGTATTCACTAAAATGACAAAAAAAAATATTATTAATGTAATACCGACTTTTATAGCTCTATATACAGTAATACCGAAGTCTCAAAGCACTCAGGGTATGGACTAGCTCGTACAGTACTTTGCTTTTCCCCTAAGGGTCTCTTGGTGTCTGAGTTACCCAGTAAACCGGTACCAGCTACTCTGTCTGTCCACAACAGGAGCTATATGGACCAGTATACAAGGATAACCCCCTACTCATTCCAAAAGATGTACAATACTCGGTTCATTTGAAGTGCACAAGTCTAATTGTGTATACTAGGCCTACGGTTTATATTCCTTATCCGAGAAGACTTCCACCACCAGAACCACAGGCGAGCGTGCTGTTCGAACCAGCACCGACATTATGGCTGTACATTGCAGCCCCGTGGCCTTAACCGCTCGGTCAGTCGACTTCAGGAAACTATTAATTAAATGTTGGATTAAAAAATCCTGTAGTCCTGGAAACTTATTATAATAAATTATGCACAGAAATTGAGAATACACAATTCACCCATAAAATAAATAAGAAAAAAATTACTTTAATTCAAATGTTTTGTGGTATTAAGAATAGAATAATTTTATGTTATATATTTGAGTTCATTCCATTTTATTAGAGACCATGTTAAAATATAAAACCTCTTTAAAACTTTTGTTATAGAAACAGACAAAAAAAAAACTCCCTTAAATAAAAACTTAGAATAGAATAATTTTATGTTTAAATATTTCAGTTCATTCAATTTTATTAGAGACCATTATCCCTGTTAAAATACAAAACCTCTTTAAAACTTCCGTTATAGAAACAGACAAAAAAAAAACTCCCTTAAATAAAAACTTTACGAATGGAAAAACCCCCTAGATAGCACTGGAGGGTAATAAACCTAGTATTATAGTTACTTCATAGCTCTGGATGACAAGGACTTGCTTCACTTTTGAGCAACTCTGTCAAATTATCAGCTGAATTTTAGCTTTTAATTGTTTGTTGTTGAGGACTTTGGTTTATGAATTTTTGTTTGTTTGGCAATATTAATTATAGTTAATAATGAGTAGCCATCTATAAAATACCATGGATTAGGTAGTAGGTATCATAAGCAACATATACAATTTCAGGCCCATGTCCACCTTTAATGAAAAATCTACTCTCTCTTCTATGATACTCTGATAGATAGATAGATAGATATGCACAGCAACAAATATAAAAACACATATTTTTTGTACCATAGAAAGCACAGTATTAACTATCATGGATAAGCTTACGATACTGCACCACTGATTGCTAGTCTGCCTTATGTCACTTCACTTTTCAAATCAACATCATCATTATACATACCACAGTCCATGGGAAAGTACAGATACTAATTAATGAACTAATTCCCTGCATGAAGGAATACCAAATTACCAAAATATTATAATGATGTAGTAGTGGGTGAACCCTATACCCCGGCCTATTTCAATTTACTCTCCTGTTACTTTAAAATTTCTCCTGCTACTCAAATTCATAAATAAACCCCTGAAACCTAGTATTATAGTTACTTCATAGCTCTGGATGACAAGGACTTGCTTCACTTTTGAGCAATTCTGTCAAATTATCAGCTGAATTTTAGCTTTTAATTGTTTGTTGTTGAGGACTTTGGTTTATGAATTTTTGTTTGTTTGGCAATATTAATTATAGTTAAAAATGAGTAGCCATCTATAAAATACCATGGATTAGGTAGTAGGTATCATAAGCAACATATACAATTTCAGGCCCATGTCCACCTTTAATGAAAAATCTACTCTCTCTTCTATGATACTCTGATAGATAGATAGATAGATATGCACAGCAACAAATATAAAAACACATATTTTTTGTACCATAGAAAGCACAGTATTAACTATCATGGATAAGCTTACGATACTGCACCACTGATTGCTAGTCTGCCTTATGTCACTTCACTTTTCAAATCAACATCATCATTATACATACCATAGTCCATGGGAAAGTACAGATACTAATTAATGAACTAATTCCCTGCATGAAGGAATACCAAATTACCAAAATATTATAATGATGTAGTAGTGGGTGAACCATGGCATTTCTGCCGCAATGGACAACATTATTAAGTCATACATATTTTAACGTTCACACAATACTGTACAGTAACCGTCAAAAAGCTTGTAAATTATGATCATTATTACACCATTATAATTTTAAAAAAAGCACAACAAAATAAATAGTACAAATCTCCAGCACTAAGGAAGAGAATTTGATAATTACTGGATGGAACTAGCATGCAGCGCTCTACAAACTAGAGTCTCATGAGACTTAGAAGGTACAGAACATAGAAAATATTCCATGTGATTCATAAGATTTGAACCTGCGAAAGAAATTATCTTCACCATCAAGCGCCACCTACCGTAAACATAATTGTTCATTTTTGTATACTATAGATACTGTACAATACTATACTTTACATTACATTATAGGAAAGTCAACAGAAAAATAATTATTTGTTGAGTGTCATGTTATGTTCATATGAAAGATTATTCCTATTCAATTTACACGTTACAGGGACTGACAGCTATCATATGATATTGTACATTACCGATGTTATGATATATTGAGGTAGGCCTGATACAGAAACATGCCTAAGAAAATGAAAGTATAATTATTATTATTATTAGTAGTAGTATAAATTTGGGTCTTTCTTTATGCAATGATAAACTGTGAAATATTTATAAACTTTTCTTTTTCCATACAAAGGGTAATAGTGTTGAAATGAATCTTTATCTTTGCAGCTACAATCTGCACTATGTGCAAAATAAACATATGACATACTGTTCTGCAGCTGAAGAAAACTGTGGTAACTGTACTGTCTGTGGCTGATTCACTTAAATTTCTGTTTGACAAAAATGTGCTTGCATTTAGTAGCATGCTTTATAGTTTGCCAATATAAAATGTCACAAATTCAATCAAATATATCTATTTGTTTCAAAGTGCTTGGTAACTCACCAGATTTCCGCCTGCTTTTGTGATACATGCGTTTATACCTCTCAAAACTGCGTGTCCTTACAAAAGCACTTTTCCGTATTTCCTTGTAACTTTCCATGCTTATCCAGGTTTTACTGGTTCCAGTAGCAATGGAGTGACATGTGTCAATGGTGTGGCCAGACCAACTGACAAGACACTAATAATTAGGGCTGTACTACTCTCATTATACAAACTACAGTAGAAGTCAAGCAATATTCCAATAGAAATTAGTCAGCTACCAAAAAATAGTAAAAACTTGAAAGGGAGTTTCCATGACTTGAACTTGCCGATCTGCACAGACTGATACAGTTCTAGAGCTGTCTATCACTCAACATATTACTACCAAATATACCAAACTTACCAATGAATCATCGACACATTGAACTTACTTTTAAGTTCATATAAAATCTTTTGTGGTGCTCATCTTCGAAATAAACCACAAAAATATGCAGATGAATGGAGTATCGCAACTAGCATTGTTCAGGTTTGCATATTGATACAAAAGGAGGGATCTATATGACCTGAGCACAAGTATAATACCACATCAACAATATACAACCTTGGGTTTAATAGAATCAATTACCTTGTTTTAAATTATAATAAATATCTTGGTCCTGTATTTATTATCCAACAGTAGTCTTCTATCAAAGTCCTTGTGTCAACTATTTCTGGACTGGTATAGTTAGAGGGCCTTCTTGCATACAATATTCTGTATTACTATAGGCCTAGTTTTATTTGGAACCAATTTTTTTTGGAAGAGTCATGCAATATATTGATGATCATTTGGGGATCCTCATTCATTCTAAAGGAAGTAAACCAACACAGTACCAACCATAATAAATTTCAATTCAATTCTAAAGCAACTTAATTCTTTTTATTAATTTGGTGTTTTTAGGTCATACAAAAAACCGAGCCTGAAATACTGAAGACTAAAAGGCCAATCAACCTGAATCAAATAAATGAATGCACTGCAATCCACAGCATTTATTTGTCCAATATACAATAAAAATACATTAGAGATGTAGCAAGACAGCGTTTTGACTGCATGCAAATATACATTTCCAGGAACCTGTTATAAAGCCAGTGGTGGTATCAGTGGGGATAGGGGCTTAAATTGTCTCAGCCACAATCCTCAAATCATTAAAAAGATAAAACAATTCTAAAATGTTCTATAATCCAGCTTAAAATTGCTTAAAGTTGTCTAGTTTCTCTACAATAGGCATCTGGTGTACACTAGACCCCTAACCCAACAACCAATGAAGTTCAATTCACCCCCACCCCCCAAATTCATGTTCAGTAAGGTCTGTTTATTACCGTATGGAGAAGGAATTATAGCAATTTATTTTTAAACAGTGACGTTTAAATAGCTATTAAAATAGTGGATACAATTTTAAAGCAGTGTGGGAACACTACGCAATACTTAATTATCTAACTTTAGTATCATAATTAGTACAACCACTGAGAATGCATATCTCCAGAGAGAAGAACTGCATATTCAAAAATTACTTAATTTTCTTCACTGAGCCTGGTGGTTACATAGCAAATTGCTATTGAACAGGGACAATCACTGTGAACAAATTTGTATTCATCTTGTATCATTGTATACCATACTGTAGCTCTATCTATTCTAATTATAATAGACTAACATTTTAAAATAATCACTTTTAATTCTTGATCACTCAAAGTTTACCATGAATTTTTTTTTAATAATATTTAATCAATTTTATATATATTTTTGTAGATTTAATTTCTTTAAAGTTAAAATGGTTTCTGATCAATGATTACATATTTTGTTATATATATATTTTGGTATTCCACTAACTTAAATAATTTTATTTATTATAATTGACCTATATTATTTATAATACTGTTTTTATGTTAAATATTATTTATGATATTGTTTTTTATGTTATATATGCATTTCGATACTTGGATTATGTATTGTACAATCTTATCTAGATGAGTGAGGTTCACAGACTTTGTGTATAGTGACTAAGTTCACTTTTTTTATTCCTGCCGACTCATTCAATTTATTGTACTTGTATTCTGTATGTTTTCCATTATAGTATTGTACTTTGTTTTTTTTTTGGTGGATAAAGAATAAGAATAAGAATCTATGTGTGTAGTGTATAAAATAATATCAGTGACTTCTAATCAGATATAAATTCAATCATTGATTTCTCAGCTAGTAGTTTTTATAATCATTCATTTAAACCATGTATTTAGTATAATGACAACATTCCGTATTTATTATAGTACTAGTAAATGAAGAAATAATGTTTTTAAGTTTTTAAAGAAAATCTACTACTACAGTATATGCTTGAATATCAAAACCTTGATAATAAATTTCAAAATAATAACAGTGTAAACATGGTTTATTATTGTCTACTTCAATAAGTATGATCAAAAATATAAAAATACATAAAGATAAAATAAGAGTGGCCTATATTTTATCAGTTACCGTAATAAAAAACATGATCTACTTAGAAATGGTACGAGTACTATATATACTACAGACCTGGTATGTCAATTACACAGCCTACCGGAATCAAATATAAAGCAGAAAGTAATGCTAATACAATACAGTATAATACAACACAGTGTAGTACAGTCTAATACAATATAATACAAACAAACTGAACCGTAAATCATTGACAATTTACTATATAGCCGTATTATATATCTTATTAAATTTCTTTCCCATACAACAGGAAGTGAGGTACTGTACAGTCAAAAATTACCCAATAGAAAGTGTGATTTTCATTTAATAAGGCTTATTGTAGGGTGTGGAGTTTGCAAGTCAAATCAACATTTATTCACATCCTTTTTAATAATAACAGAATAAAATTAATAAAAAAACAAAAAAAAAACATTTTACAGGATTTTTTAGAACTAAAAATGCTAGACTGGAAAGCAAGGAAGTTCTATTCCATAAATAATAACTTATTTAACCAACCAAACACAGATAAAACACACTCAGTTATCAGTATACTTAGTACTGATAAGTATGTAAATATTAATGATCACAAACAATCAAAGCAACATAAAAAAACATTATGATTAACTGAAACATCAAATAAATTATCTAACACATACCTAGCCCGCATTCACTTAAGCACTTGGTATTTCGCCGCAAACGGAGGCTAAGGCTCCTTCTCGTTCTCCTAAAACTCATACTAATAGCACCTATCGTCATAGCATCCAAAAGGAAAAGCTGTGAATATGCCTTCCACTGTTCATATCCTGTCGTTAAATGTTCCCAATTCCAATTTGGTGACAAGGAAACTGACTGGTTGATAGTACACTAACCACTGTATTCATTAATAAATATTAAGTCAACAGGATGTTGTTAGATCTCAAAACTATCAAATCCATTATAAGCTCCATCATCAGTATACTGGCTATCATATTAGAAACTTTCCTTTTTTTTTTTACTGCTCCGTTCCAAGTAGGAATTCACCATGATGCATCATGACATCAACAAAACTGACAGAAAAATATTGTCAATGTATCATGATTGTTGAACTCGTTGCAGATTAGATAATGCCAGATGCTCATTTGCCAAAACCTCCAAATGCATCCACACAAAATCAACACTGTCAAATGTGTGTTGTCCATGCTTCATAAACTAATGACGTCATACTATAAACTGTCTTGTGTGATGGTGATCGTATCGTCAACAGTTCATGTACACAAATTGCCCATAAGGTATTTGTAAAAACAAATTAGAGTATCGTGGTTCGTCTGAAAGACTCGCTCTTAACCAAATTCATATAAAAAAATGAATTATGCAGTGACACATTGTTTAAAATACCCATTGGAGAATTATAAATTTTCCAAACGAAGTAATTATCTGAAAATTTATAATTTTCCAGGAAAGCTCAAAAGATATGCAGGATAATCAACTACAGTTTAATGACAGTGTAGAATCTGAAATCACTGTTGTTGAACAATATTTGTGATAAAAAGGAACATACAGTAATGTAATTTTGTATAGATGATTACAATATCTCAAGTGTTCAAGATTTCTTTCACACATATGATTCAACTATATCCTTTTTCAAGGCTTTGAATGATGCTAAAAACCATTTTTATTTAAATTAAATTGATTTTTAGTAATAAACAGGTAATATTGGAATAAGTTACTGAAATTGTTTGAATAACAACTTTTTATACTTAAAATTCATCAATTTCAATTCATTCAACATTATTTTTTCAGCAGTGCACTCTAACTTGATTTTGATTTCTACGGGTCTGATATAGTAAAATGTTAAATTGCAATATTCCTTTAATAGTTCTGCTGCTATAATTTCTTTAGTTGTACCATATAGGATCTGTGGTTGTACAAATCATAAAGTGAAACTATAAAGCAATGTTATATGCCACAAACACACAAGTCATTGGCCGCTACGTTTTTTTATTACCATTAATCTATACGGTTTCAATCTTCATTTCCAATATTCGTTTCCAAATAGCGATTGCAAGAAAAATAATTTTCCTGAACTTGAGGCTTTCATATGCACACAATCACAAGACCTTGATGCCTAGAGCAGGAATGGAAATTTCATTGCGAACATCTATCCATCAACTTTGAATGAATACAGTGTGTTACCTGGATGAAAAAAAACAGCGTAATTACCTGCTACTCTGAAAACTTAAATACTATTCACCGACAATTAATATGAAGAACACGTTGAGTATTCACTGTGGAAAACAGCAAGACCGTTGGCATGGCTTGGTTCCAATATGATCTAATCCAACGAGAAAAAGGCTAATGGAGTTTGTAATTTAATAGATAACTGCTAACAGTATAAAATTTGAAAACGTCACTCTTATAATGGGCCCACAAAGATCTGCATAATCTTTTACGAGAGGAAATGCGGATTTATACATAAACACAACACCTGAATTTGATTCTATGTTCCTGTATCTGAAGAAATATCTGTTTTCAACCGTATAATCATGATCCTATAATGAACTATACCGGATACATGCTGATGGATTTGTGACTTAGCAATCAAGTCCCATATCCCGTTTTTATCTGACTTAGAAAACAGACTCAATACTGATAGAAAGAAGACTTGACACTTGACCTTTAATTTAATCAGGTCTGAAGGTATTGTCTATTTACCTATACTGTAGTACTGTAGCCTTGCTCAGATATAACAATCAACCACTCATTATTTTAAGCAGTATACTGTAGTAGATAATAGCTTCATCATTTTACAACTTAACCTTGCACTCTTTATAAAAAGTATGACGGTGATTGTCAATTAAAAAATGAGAATTTACACACAGCTATTTACATACGCCAATACAGTGGCATAACGACAAGTCATGGGACTCGGAAGAAAGTGTTGGGGTCCTATGCATTTTAGTAGTCAATAATGAGGAACCCCCTTCATAGTATTATAATTTAATTAGAATTCTGTGAATTTTGGGTGTCTTCTACTGCACTATGATGTCAAGGTTTTGTAATAGAAGAATAGTAGAAGGTTCTGTAATAGAAGTATATAGTAGGAGGGCCCTTGGGGCCCCTTTTGACTAGGGGCCTGGGCTTCACTCCCGAGAGCCAATAGACGTTACGCCAATGTGCCAGTAACAAGACAGAAATTGCATGATGTTATATCATGCAATTTTTAAAATAATGTTTGAATATAATATTTATATAGTCTGAAACAAATTTAATAATATATCAATGCATATAGGCCTCTCTTGATAAGGTGATCTGCTAGATACAGTAGGGGTATCTATAGACTGTCCTATATTGTTATGTAATATCTACCTTAAAGGTTAAACCATACTGAATGTCAAAAATGACCCAGTTTCTAGCAAAAAATCATCTTGGTGTGTCAACTATATATTCCATAGGCATCCCCAGAGAAATTGCCACACTGTAAGTTGGACTATCAATTACAAAAAAAAAAAGAAAGAAAAAAAGTAAATGATTTGGTCGAAACCGCAGTAATTTGATTCTTACTATAATACTATCATAGACCAGAATAATATTCTAGATATGATAACTACTCAATTTCCTTGAGCACTTTAGTGGAGATGTGCGCTTAATAAATCTTATTATTATTATTATTATTATTGTATATGATTCACAATAGAGGGTGCTATTACTTTTATTGCAGATGATGCTAGATGCAAGAAAATACTGTAAAGTTTAGAGATGACAATACTATAAAAGCTACAGTAGGTCCAACAATGCAACAAACCACTATCATCTACTGTACTGTACCTACTGTTAAGTCCTGTCTAGATTATCATATTTTGTGTGAAAAAAACATGTGACATGTCTAAATATGGTCATGATATCATATCATGACCATATATAGGCATATATTAAACATAATGACAGGGGTTTAGTTAATAAGTTATTCTTTAATTCCTTAAGTTCTATTTAGTACACGGTAAGTCAATTCAATTTTCAATTTGCAATTTGTCATGGATCACAGTATGAGAATATTGATTGACAATTATACATAATTAGAACAAGTGAACAATCACAGTTTTTTACTACATGCATTCATTTTGTCATTCCTATTCCCAAGTAACAGGATACTATGACAAATTGCAATTATTCATGTCAATAAAATATGCAATTATAATCACTAAAATACCATGTACTACTTATTGTAAATTGACTTTCTGTCTGTCTTGTTAGTCAATTAATTCAAATATAACAATAACTTAGACTAACATTTTATAAATTGAAGTTGTACTTGTCTGTATAGCAGCTTGGAAAGTGTTACTATTGGGGATTTGGTATCAAATTTAAACTAGAAGTATAACAAATGCATCCATGCATTGTGCATCAATAGAAAAGAACCAACTTATATTGCCCTAGAGAGGGTGCTATACTATTATGCCGTTTGCAAAATACTAATTTAGTTCAACCTATGAGTTATTGATCAGATCCTGGTCGTAAGATCCTAGTATGTATTAAAATCTAGATTCTCAAATGTAACAGTGTATTTATTATAATTTATACAACAGTGTACATTCAAAATGTTAATGATAATTCATACCGTTTTGATCAAATATGAATTATGGTTGAGAGTTAAATGTTATTGTACTATATATTTTACTATCGTAAAGACATCATCAAGAATAAAATAAAATAAATAAAAATAGAAGGCGAGTAATTTGTCACTTCATAAGATTTACTTGAAAAAGTAATCATATTATTAGTACCTGTATTCATAACTTATTTAATAAATTTAATACAATACCACTCAATTTAACAAAATTTAATTCAACAAAACATTTATTTCATCCTCTCCTCAAATCTTTCAGTCATTTTAAGTAAATGCTAACTTTAAGGTAATTGAATGAAACAAGGGTATATATGATTATTATGTTATTTCCTGAATCTAATGATCGTATAATATATATTGTATTATTTTGTATTATTGGTATCATTGGCAGGCAGCCTTAACATAGAGGGCGCCAAATATAATTTTCATTTCATGACATGGAGACAAAAGTTTTTCATTTCATGACATGGAGACAAAAATTGATGTACAGAATGGAGACTCATCCCATCATTCTTCCAGATTCACTTAATCTTAAAGGGTTAACTGCTAGATGAATGAATGAATGACGTAAATAAAAAAAAAATTCAAAAAAAAACCTGCAACATTTGGAAGGTGTAGCTTTCAATATCACAATTTTAAAAAAAATGTATAATTATGATAACAACTTGATATAATCAAATTAATCTTTTACAGTAATTGATCACAACATCTTGATCTCAGATGCTGTTTATTTTTCTCTCAACATCATGTTTATACAGTATGCATAGTCTATTTAGACTCCCACAGGCTACAGAATATCATAAATATTTTCACAGTATTTTACTACCCTGTGATTGCATTATTTATGTAATAAACATTACCTCTCTTAGTTGCAATTAACAATGATTTTACTAGATTTCTAATAGTTAACTGAATGTGAACATTATTCAATGGGAGTAAAGCAAACATATTCTAATATACAGTACTACTATCAATTATTCCTTCACACAACAGCTGAAAAAACAATAGAAGAGGAAACTCACAATAATATAGATAGCCTTGAATACTCTTCCTTTGAAGACAATAATTTCCGGTGTGTGAAAGTAGAGAGTATGTGAAGACACACCTAGTGGTGTCTTAGTATTGACAATTTAATGATAAAATTCAAGGTGTAATATACCAACTGAAGGAGATTTATACTATAATTTCCCATCCACAGTACAGTATGTTCATTGACAAATAAAACTCAAGTGAAAAAAAAACAAAACCCACAGTATTTAAGTCATTATGAAGTATTACTACCGTATTCTGTCATTGAATTTGTATAAACAAGTGTTTGAAGAATTTTTATTTTTTAAGTAAACACATTTCTTTATTGCAATTTAAAAAAAAAAAAACATTGTAAGGATGAATAATCAATATAATTAGTTCACACTTTGGGCTTATATATAAACTGTTTTTAGTTCACACATGTCCACTGTTTTTACAAGGGTTAATCAAAATAATCCAGTTAAATAATTCCTTTTTACAATGCAATCAGTAAAATTAAAAGTATTAAATTTAAAAGATGATGTTATAATTTAAACTCTAAAGCAACATTCATCCTGTCATAAATGCAAAAACCTTGAATTTCCATTTGAAGTTTGAGCAATATGACTTAATAAACTCTAACAAATGTTAGTTTTATTTAGCAAATAATGTCAAGGCCTTTATGTGCTACACATCATTATAGCAGTCAATGGAATTGGATCAAATACCTAGAGAGCGCATACTTAGCTCCCATGGGAGAC